TCAGGCCAAAACTTACAACTATTGTTAAGAAAGAGGCTAGTTTGTTATTTGAATGTTTATTTTCTAATAAGGATATAATAAAATTTAGAATGCAGTTGATTGATTGGACTAATGGGGCATATCCATTTGATTTTGATGGAAATTGGAATAATTACTTAGTTGAAAATCCTGTATATTTTTGGAATAAACTGCAAAATGAAGTACCCGAATTGGCTATTTTTGCTGCTCAAATTATGTCTGTACCACCTACATTAGCTGAAAGTGAAAGGTTCTGGTCATTAATAGCAAATATACATTCACCACAATGTAATCGGTTGACAAATATACATGCAACAAAAATAGGATGTATTTGATAGTATTTTGCTCAAGAAAAATATAGTTCAAATCATATTCAGAATGAAAAGGAAACTGATAGTTTTGAACAAATTGTTCAGGTTAATAGGATGAATTCTAATGAAGAAAATATATCCAATGTTGAATTTGATGATTTAGACAATGATGATGTTTTGGAACAATCTGATGAAGAAAATATCATGCAAACAATTGAAAATATTGATAATTTTAGTGTTAACGATCAAATAAATTTTAGCGATACCATGATTGAATCTTCTATTCAAAATACACATACTAATCATGGAATAACTTTGGAGAACTGGTTATCTTTAGAAAAAATTGATATTTAATTACATTCGGGCAATAATTTACAGCATAATAATGAACATTTTAATAAATAAATACTGTAAATTGAAAGTTTTTGACAATTTTATTATAATGATAATATTTATCAATAATATGTAAGAATATGTAATAATATAAAAATATGTTAAGAATATATAAAAATTTTGCCCATCCTTAGTCCGGTCAAAATGTAATTGAAAGTCCGAAGGGACATTTTCTCTTGGCAGCACTCATATACTGTATTTAGTTAACCTTCACTATCACACTAGCTATAATTATAATTTATAAATTTATTAGGGTCTAACTTAATAAAAATAGATTGAATTTGATCTTCTTATAAACATAACCCATTATAATCATTTGTTTGATCCTTGAAGTGATTATAATAAAAGCTAGCCGTATATCAAAATTTTATTGTTATAATTTTAGAAGAGTAAATACATGTGAAATAATAAGAAACCAAAGATTGTACATGAACAAACTTTATATTTAATTTAGAGATGGGTAATAAATCAATCTTGATGAAAATTTTTAAATAAAATTAAAGGCAGCATTTACAAATTTATGAATAATGTCTAACGATTTTCTACTTTTTAACAGCTTCGGGATTAAAAACTAATGCAAAACAGTGGTCATGAAGTTTTTTATTAATCGCATTCTTACATTTAGGTTGTTCAAGGATAATACGGTCGAACTTTTTGGCAATAAACTCAGGATAGCATTTCTGACATTCTTTCTTGTCATCTGCACACAAGCTGATAAATTCTGGTAATTTACTATCAACCTCTTGCTTCTTGTTATTCTTTTGAAAAGAAATTTTTTTTATGGATGATTTTCGATCCACTTTAATTTGCCCAAATACTTTAGAATCTGGATGTCCAATAAAGGATAGTACATTAAATTCAAAATTAGGCAATGTGGAATATTCCTTTTTGTCTAGATCATATCCATAAAGACACGTAATAGTTTTACTAGTGGCTTCACACAAACTAAAATGATAGCCAATAACCCAATATTTGTAGCCAGGTTTCAAGTCAGATATAACAGGTGCACCATGACCCACACGATATAAAGCACTGTACACGTACAATATATATAAGAAAGTAAAAGTATTTTTTCCCTGTTAGTAAAGCGTGACTTCTTTTCGGCGAAAAACTGCTATCCTTTTGTTTATTCAGGCTTTTATTCATAGGTGAATTGTATTTTTTTTGATTAATATTAAGTTTAATTTTGAACTTTACGTGTACAAACCTTTTTCCGATGACTTTTTCTAGTATATAATAAAATGCTGGCATTCGAATAAATTTATTATAAGAATAGTGCAAGCTTTTACATTAAG